AGATTGGAGCCAGATCTTCAAGAGCTTTGCATGCTAATCAAGGGAGCCACCATGGGGGCCCCTGTTGTCACAGCAGTGCTCTGAGACAAACGAGCATGCATCAGAATCACTTGGGCTGGTTAGAACAGGTTCTGGACTCCACCCTCACAGTTGATGAGTCTGTTGGTCTAGAGGAGGGCCTAGAATTTGCATCTTCAGTAAGTCCCCAGGTGATGCTGGTCTTTGAGAACCAGTTCTGGACAGTTCATCTGGTAACTGTGCTGGATGGATTAGAAAGGGAGAGACTACAGATGGAGACACAAGTCAGACAACAGTTATACCCATCCAGGTGAAAAGTGAGGGACAAGCTGGAATCAACAGAAATAAGAGAGTCAGTCACGGTCAAGAATGGGTGTTTTCAAATAAAAACCAAGTTCCATGTTGATTTTTGTTGTCTCACCATCTACTGAAAAAACTGCTTTCATGGAATATTAAGGCAATATAAAGCCAAAGATAAATTTCTACTAATATGATGGAAAGTACAATTCTGAATAGAGGATTAACTTCCTTTCAAGTGATATTTTGTTTCTTCTTTTTTGGGGGGTGGGGTGGCTGGCCGGTAGATATCTTTTATTTCTTCTAGTTATTGAACTGGCTTGGAAAAACAGAATGAAAACAGGAAGATGTATGAATGTGAGAATATTCCTTTTAATATTAGAAATTATACATATAGATAAAAACTTTGAGCTGATAATCTAGAATTTGATGAGAAATAAAAGGTCATCTAGTCAATTCTTCTGGGCTCAGGAAAGATTATCTCCAAAATCTATCAAAATCTATAATTGTATATTTCATTTATGAGGATCATGACGGTGAGACTCTTAGGACAGGTACAGGCAAGGTGAGGGGCTCTTGAAAGTTCAACTACAAGACCAAAGGCTTAGAGTCTAGACAAAAATTCCATATTCGGTATTATCACTCTAAACTCTACTATTTATTCCTACTAATTATGTACAATAGCCAATCAAGGCAACATTTTTCTTTTCTTTTTTCTAGAGATCTATCTTGTAATAAAATACAGGTTATTGAAAGAGGTACATTTGAAGCGCTACCTTTTCTGAAGTCTCTGTAAGTTACAAATGCAACTTTATTATATTTGGAATTTTTATAAAAATTGTAAACCTCTTTGCTGTTCATTTTGAAATATGATTAAAATTTTACTAGTAGTAAGTTACTAAAATTACACAGCAAACCCTTTTCATCTCTAGCAAAGATTAGTGTGAGCATTATTACATGATCAGAGTGAATTGTGATAGAGCAATGGCTGTCAGCCAGTGTGATTTTGCACCCAGGTGA